GCAAGCCTTGAATTAGCCACACACCAAGCACTATGCTGAATCCCTGTGAATGAAGTGATGTGATAGCATACCCTGCTATATATGCAAACACTATGTATTTTATACAAGGGACTTGAGCATCAGAGGGGGGTCCTGGAACCAATCCCCCAAGGATACTGAGGGACAACTGTATAAAAGTATCCAAAGTGGGAAATAAAGTTGAAAAGTATAGGTTGCTTTACATGCCTTTATTCCACCTGGTCATTCTTCATTGGATCATCTCATTTTTAAGGCACAACAACCAAAACTGGATACCCAAGGTTTTAATAACTACAATCAAACAAAGAAGCAAACAAGCAAAAAGGACTTCACAGCTTGCCAGTCATATCCTTTTTATACATCTACTTTACACAGCTACACAACATTGCCCTTTTCCACAGGAAAAATACATTCCTTATTCATGCCTATCTCAGGTTCAACAGCAAACATTTTCTGCTATTATACACCTGACCAGTCTTCCTTGTCTATATTTGCACTGGAGGTTTTATCCTTAAGAATGCCTGAAATTACCCCTCTTAAACATCAGTCTATGATTACACTCTGTTTCTAACTTACGAGGTTTAATTGGATCCTTTCCCTATCTTACAAAATTAGATTAGCAACCCAATCTAATTTTTCCTCAAGTTCAGATGAAAATGTTGACTAGAAGGAATCCAAGACATTATCCTTGCTCTCTTCCCCTGTCCCACCAATTCCCATCTCTCCCTCAACAGGTTCCTCACAGGTGCACAATGCTTTGGCACTGAAATTCCTTGGAAACATGGAGACTCAAATGAAGGCTTAGAATAAAGAAGATAGAGAAATTGTTCTTACCTCCTGCACATTGGCCAGCTCCAGCAGTTCTCCAAAGACATAGACTCCAGGAGCCTCCAAGACTTGGTTTATGAGAGCAGTGAGGGCTGAGCCACTAGTACCTTTGGCTAGTAAAATAAACTGTTCCAGGAGGTTACTTGAGGGTTTCTGTTCACCTGCCATTCTCTGGTCTTAAGATCTGTCCAAAAGAAAGGTGTTTCCATCATTTTTCCTTCTCCTTTGCAAAGTCTATGCTTATTTATTGCTGGATCAGATATCTGAATAATTTTATAGTATTAAAAAAAACACACAACAGTTATAGAGTCCAGATGCTATGATCACTTAGTGAGATGGGTAGGATTCAACCTGGAGTTAAAGGGATTTTGTCCTTATGCTGAGGTTTGAAACATACTTAGTAAAAACCTCTTTATCCCCATTTGACCCTCTCCCAAAGGCAGCATATTCTAAACCCTTAAACCTAACCAGGACTTAAAGAAACACACAGGAGGGAAAAACCAAGATGGCAGCATAGGTAAACACCAGAGATTGCTGCCTCGCACAATCACTTCAAAAATACAACTAAAAGACGGAACAGACATCATTCAGAACCACAGGAAGGCTGGCTGAGTGGAAATTCTACAACTAGAAGGAAAGAGAAAAGCATACCGAGACTCAGAGGAGTTGCGGTGCGGAAGTAAAATACAGAGGTACAGAGGCGCACACGGAGCGGGCTGGCGGCTGAGGGCACGGTTGTCTTTTTCGATCGGGAGGGAGGCTCAAGCTCTGAGCTCCAGTTCTGGGCAAGTCTCTGGGGACCCAGGCTCACATGGGAGAAACTGGACTGTCTGGCATCGGTCGGAACTAGAGGGCAGCTTTCTCTTGGAGGTGCTTGCGATTGCTTGGACACAGAGAAGCAGGGCCTCAGAGGACAGGACTGAGAGCAGCCATAACTGCTCACTCTGCCGCCCTGTTGATCCCCTGGGGCTCCGCCCCACCCAAGCCATGCCTGGAGACTTTTGCAAATGAAAGGCCCGGCCCTTTCTAACCTGAAAATTACTTAACAAACTGCAGCTGCCCAAGACCCCAGGGCAACTTGCATTGCTTTACAGCTGGCTTCTGCTGGGTAGCCTCAGGAAGAGGCTAGATTAGCACCTCCTTAGATCCAAGAGCCAGCGTACTCAGTGGT